CATGGCCTCATCATTAATATTTAAAAAAAAAAATATATATTGCACCAAGAGCTATATGTGATATGTTAGTATTTAACAAAAATTCTCTATCATCTCTGAAATATATCAGTATCAGTGCTGTAGTTAGTTTAACCTTCAATTTATCAAATGCTTTTTCTTGTTTTTTTTTTATATGAGGTTTATTTTTTTTTATAAGTTTGTAAAAAGTCACAGCTACTATAAAGAAATTTTTTATAAACCTTTGGTAGAACACTGCAAGGCCCAAAAACACTCTTAGTACTTACAAATTCTTTGGTTTTGGAAAGTTCTTCACAGCTGTTATTTTGAATTCAGCAGCAGCAATTTCTTTTCTACTTATCTCATAGCCTAAAAACTAAATTTTCTTTTGTCTGAAAAAACACTTATTAGAGTTTAACTTTAAATTGGCTTTATAGAGTCTAAACAACACAATACTAATATAATTTAAATGTTCTTCAAAGCTGAGAGAATATATATTGATGTCATTAATGTATGCCAGTACAAATTTCTACATTTTCTTATTTAAAACTCTATTCATCAGCCTCTAAAATATTGCAGATGCATTTGTCAACCCAAAGGGCATTACTATAAATTTATAGAGGCCTAATTTGGTAATAAATGTTGTTTTTTCTTGGTTATAAGAATGCATTCCTATTTGCCAGAAACCATTTGCCAGATCCAGTATTATAAACCAAGTAGAGTTTTTCAAGATACTCAGAAGCTTATTTATTTGAGAAAAAGATAGCTATTATGCTTTATTTTCTTGTTCAATTTTCTAAAGTTAACAAAAAAAAGTTGCTTTTCATTCTTATTTCTTTTTAGTACTACTGAAAAGCCTATAGACTACTTGATGAATGAATCAGCCCTACCTCTTTTATTCTTTAAATTTTCTAATTGATGAATTTATGTTTAGCTTTAGATATAGAGTAAAATCTTTGTTTTGTAGAAGAACCTTCATTAGTATGAATTTTATGCTATATTATAGTTGTTTTTCCAAGCTTATAAAGTTTTTTTACAAAAAGATCTTGATAATTTTCTAATATCTTTTTAAGACATTATTTTTATTCTTGTGACATTTTTTTAATTTTTTAACCTTCACTTAGTTTCTTATTTTCTTCAGTAAGACATACAGGCTATTTGTTTAGGATTTTCTTTTCTAAAGCATAGTTAATTTGGTCATGTCTCTGTTTTATACATTGTTTATATTATCTTTTTTCCTTTATTGTTATAAGACAAAATCCACTAAACAAATAGTTCTAATTTATAAAAGCTTCATTCTTATATTCATCTAGATTAGCTTCACTTTTGCTAGATTCTTCACTACTTTTACTATCATCAGACTCATCTAATTTTTCTTTATTCTTTTCTTTTCTAAACTTTAGATTAAGGTTTTTTTATATATACAGTTGGCAATGTTTGTGAATTTGCAATATTTTGTTAAAACTGTAATTTTCTTATTATTATTTCTTATAGTCAATTCACAAGCTTTCTAATCAAGTTAAGCTTTTGCTTTTTTCATCAAATCATTATCAACAATAATTATACAATTTTTAGCATTAGTTATAACAGCATGTAAGGTTATTTTCTTGCTGCTTATGATTATTAGGAACCAATTAATTTCTTCTAATAGCCATTTTTGTTTTTTATAAATTCCAACTATTAATATTATTAAGAAATAATTAATTGAGATATTAACTTTTTTTAAAAATCCAGTTAAAACAATACAGCTAGATGAACTGCTATTCAAGATCAAAACTATTAGTTCACTATTAATATAAGCTTTATAGTATATTAATATAGTATAGAATTTATTGCTTTATCCTAAACAAAATTCAGAAGACTTTGTCTTAACAATTCTTCAGAATATAATATTTTCAAGGCCTTCTTTCAAACTCTAGATTCTGCTTGGAACAATTGTGCATAAGAAATATTAGTCTTTTTATTCTGTAAATCTGATATTATAAAATATAATTAAATATTAAATATTATTTAAGAATCGATGAGTTTTTTTTCCTTTTTGTAATCTTCTGCTTTTTAACTACTGGTTCTTTTTCTTATCATTATTATTTTCAGGTGAGATTTTGCCTATGCTATGCCTATTATTCTTTTATCACCTTTTTGCAACAAAGGCTTTTTCAATCTTTATTGCTAAGAGGTTTTTTAATATTGATGTATACTTACTCTCTAAAGGTGCATTCTCTAGTTTAAATGTTTAAAGTTATTTTGTAATTGAGATAATATAACTTAAGCTTTATTTTTTTTATTTATAGATATATTATTGTTATCTCTATAATTATTTGCATTATTTCTATTAAGCACAGACAATTGATTTCTATTTTTATTAATTCTATAGTTCACATTTAGACATTCTTAAGCATAATAACCAGATTGTTAACATAAATAACACAAGAGAGGATAACTATTCCTATCTCTGTTTGGGCAAGAACAAATATTATTACTACTGTTATTACTTTTCACTACTGTTACTACCTCTTGTAGTAGAAAGATCATCTGCTTTATAGAGTTATTATTAATACCTGATATATTAGTTGATAATTAGAAATTTATAGAATAGGTTGTTATTAGCATTTGAGACTGCACAGATATTGCTAAAGAAGCTACAGTGTCTCCAAATATGGTATTATATATTACTGTTAGTTCACACACAGCTAAGCTATGTGCAAAGGTCATTTCACATATTTGAGCCCTATTTATAGCTTTTTGTAATGTATTTAGCATAAAAGGTCCAATAGCCAAAGACAAATCAGAACAAAGTCCTTGTACAAACATTTGTGCTTTCATTACTTCAAGGTAATAATTATCTACTTTCATTACTCATTAAAATAGTGCTAACATATCAGTTGCATATTGATCTACCATTTCTCTAATATGTTGCTATCATGTTAACAACTCTATATTTTATTGTGTAATTAAAGCCTGTGTACAAAATTGAAGCTAGAATTGATGTACAAATCTTTGCTTAGAATTATATACATTATTCCAATACTGAAAACCTGGTCTTGTATTTTTTTTATTCTCTAACCAGAATGTAGCTAAACCTGAAAAATAAGCTTTAACAACAGCCAATCTTCTTGCTTCTACAATATTATTAGCTTTGAAGACTTTGCTAACTGGTTTTAACCACTTTATAGAGTCTTGACTGCCTTTAATAAAAACTGATATGATTATAAGATTTTGTTCTATCATATTTGATTGAGATCCTTGTTGTCTTGCCAAAGTGTTGACCATGTTTTGAAATAGCTGTTTTCATGATAGATTTATATTAGTTGGATTTATTAGTTATTCAGAACTATCCAACAACATATTATTATATATTGGATTATTGTTGCTTTTAACAGATTTATCATATCCTTCTATATTGTTATTACTTATAAAATTCAAAGTATAATCTTATAGGTTTATATTGCTTCCTAACATTTTATTAACAAGTAATACTCATCTGTTGCTGTTGTATTCTTTTTTTTATTTTTATTTTATTGTGGCATTATTTGTAGTATTATTTGTATTACTGTCTTTTTGTACAACTATAATATAACTCAAATTTCATCTCCTGCTTCTTTTATTCAGATTCACACAATTGGCATCAAAAATGTAATGACTTGGAAGAGCTTTACTTTTGTTTTTCAATTTAACACAGTGGTATTAGTAATAAAATATGAATAGATTATTAGTCAAAATGAATGAAAGTATATAGATTAATAAACTAGTCTTTGTTTATATTATAAGAAAAATGAAATCCAAAGATGTAAAATTAATCAAGAGAATTCTTTATTTAGTAATATGATCATTAGCAAAGAAAGTATTATGATTGTACAATGTTCTGAAAAAGAAAAAAAAGTTTTAACTCCAGTATCTAATAACTCTCCTTATATAGTCTTTATATTAGACTCAAAATTAATGATTATACAAAAATGTAATCATCAATTTTTAGCTTGAAAAATATTATAATTAGTATAAAGTTTAATATAGTATCTACAAAATTATTATATAATCTTGAAAGAATTTACATACAATTTAATTTATTATAACATTTTTCATAGCATTGGCTTGCATAATGCTACTGGCTGCACAGTTTACATAGTAGATTTAAAAATTTCTCAATTTTCCAATTCCTAATTATAATCATTTTATTACTTATTGTAATTATTTTAGTTTACATGAATTTTTAGTGCTTGATATATTTGGCACATGATGTTCAAAACTTTTAAGTAATAAATACAGAAATAGAAAACCCATCAGTTATAATTTTGATCAAATTTGCAGATCATTTGACCAGATTTGAAATTGTTTGTTTAGATCTGGCCAAATGTTTTCAAATTTGACTAAAATTATAACTAATGGTTTTTTTATTTATCAAATAATACAAATCCACATATATGAATTATTAACAATTGTTTGTTATTTAATTAAATATTTGCTGAAATAATTAAATAATTAATTAGCTATAGCTGCAGCTAGCTGGTAATAACTAACTGATAACATCCCTAATGAAAAAGCATTATTGAAATGCTGTGTATGAAGTCAAGGGGCAGTCATTTGTCATAAGATTACACCAGTCATCTATGATGTTATTACTAGGTAAGTAATTGGTAATAAGAGTATAATCAAGTAAATGATTGAGTGATGAGGTCATAATGAATAAAAGAGTTAAGTAGTTAGTTTAATTGATTAGAGAGTAGTAAATATAAGGTCATTAAAAATGGCTATATAAGTGAAGCATGAATGAAAAAAAGTTCTTCTTTTTTTGTTTTTGCTGTTAGCTTATCACAAGTTTAGCTTTGTCATAAATTATAAAGTCATAAGAAAAACAATATAATGCCATAAAGAATGAGAGTGATATACAAGAAATATTTCCAAAAACCTTACCAGATAATTGTGTTTTGAAAAATAGTACAGAGAAGATATCACAACAGAGTATAAAGAGTAGTTTGAATTAGTTGTTAATGGAAACATTAAAGATGATGTGTAAGGGTAAAGGTCTACCAAAAATAGAAGCTAAAAAAGAGTTAGTGAAAAGGGTGGCAATAAGAATGATTAGTAAAGTGAAAGGAAAAAGTGTAAAAAATAGTAATCAATATAAGAATACATGGAATAAAAAGTCAGGTAATGTGCTAAATATCTTGATGCATGAAAAGGATGAGCTGAGATCAGATATAAATGATGGAAGTTTTGGGGTTCAAAAGTGTGTAATATCTGACTTGCAGTATATAGCCCTAGAGAAGTTTTTGGAAAAGACAGTTCAAGTAATGATAGAGAAGGTTGTAGGTGAGTTTAAGAGAAGTGTTCAGGAGTTGCAGCAGGATGAAAGAGATAAATACTGGCAAAGGAGAAGTTGAGAAAGGCAAGAGACCAATTTGAGTATAACAAATAGTATAAGGCTAAAAGGTTTTTGAACAATGCATTAAAAAGTAAGAATTGGGATTTGATTATTAGGACTCAGGATGTTGTTGCAACTAGAGTGTTTATGCTGAGAGTAGCAAATAAGGAAGAGTGAAATATAGCAGCAGGAATTAGAGACCCTTTGAATAATGATCCTATAGAAGCATATTTTTAGAAAAGGCTTGCTAATGCCAGACAGATAGAGAAGAACAAGCAACCAAGATTGGAAATAAGCCAGTAATGAAAACAAATTTTATGGGATGGTCTGCTAGAAAAGGTAATACACTATTAAATTAGCCTTTGCAATAGCCTACATTTCAGCTTGTCCAACAATTTGGTTTTAATTCAAGTGTAGAATCTTACAATAATGTAAAATCAGAACAGAGTTCATACTAACAGTAGTATAGAAGTCAAGATGAATTATATAACTGTTTGGGATGAATCATTGTAGTTTTAGGATAAATACTCAAAAAAAGAAGGTAAGAAGTTCAGGAATTGTGTGTTTTATCTGTAAAAAAAAGGGTTATATTGCTTGAAATTGCTCTCAGAAAAGGTTAAGACAGCCTTTTTAAGGGACAAACACAGAAAGAGTAAAAAGCTGACTACACTCAGAAGAAGAAGAGACAGGTAAAACAGAAGGTAGTAGAAAGGATTCATTTAGAATTAACAGTAGAATATTGAGAAAGAGTTATCAAACTGGTAGCTTTAGTAATAGTGTAGTTAAAAAACAGAATACACTTTTTCTAAAAGAGATAAGGTTATTAGCTCAGAAAGAGGTAAAGCAGTTCAAATTTTCATAAGATGAATTGAAGTAAATAGAGCAGAAATTGGAAAGATTAAGAGGAACAGATGTGATAAGGCTGGTGCATATAAGAAATGCAAGACCAGATTTCTTGCTAGAGGTGAGTTCAGTGTTTTAGTCCCAAAAGCAGGCCCAAAACATTACTGCTTGGTAATAGATTTAAGTAGGCTGAATTAAGTTCTATCCAAGAAATCATTCTGTTTCAAAGGCCTGAAAGGGTTTTTGATGACAATTAGAAGGGATTGTTAGATAGTGGTATTTGATTTGAAAGATGGGTACTATCATGTTCTAATGGATGATGGGCTCAATGGTTTTTGGAGTTTCAGGTAGGAGAAAAGTACAGTCCTACTGTTTGGTCTGTCTCAGTCATCCTGAATTTTTTCAAAGATAATAATGGCACTGATAGAATCTTGAAGGTCATGAGAGATATATTGTAGAAATCATATTAACAATGTTTGGATAGCAAGCCCATCAAAGAAGATTTTGATGTCGATAAGAAAAGAGGTAATAAAGGTCAATTTAGAAGGATGTGAGTTTGTAAGAGCAGTGAACAAAGGATATTGGGAACCAGTAATAAGGATAAAAATTTATAAATTAATAGTGAATACACAAAAGGATGTAGTTGAAGTGCCAGAGAAGAAAATTCATACAGTATACAAGAAGTTGGAGGTAATAGAGAATTTGTAAATAATACTAGCAATAAGACTGGCATTGTTGATAAAGAAAATTTGGAGTTTTGTATAAGTTTTTTTGCCAGCACAAGTAAAATGTCTGAAGTTTTATGTGATAATAGATGCAGCAAATCAGAGTTTTTATTAGTGAAACAAGAAGGTTCAGTTGTCAGATGTGTAATGAAGAATATAAGATACTTGAGAAAAAATATTATAAAATAGAACAGCAAACCAGTGTGGAAGCTAACACAAATAAAGACAGTCTTTGTAAATGTGTCAATAATAGGTTAGAGCAGCATATATTTGAATTGTATTGCAGCAGGAAGTTGGCCAAAACCTTTCAGATCAACAGAAATAGCCCAGTTGGAAACCTTAACAGTGTTATATGCTTTGAAAGCTCTTATAGAAATGCTCAAACATTCGTAAATAATACTGTTTATAGACAACAAGCTTGCAGCAAGAATGATAGAATATGGAGAAAGTGTTTATAGCAAAAGAATATTGCAAGATTTCTATAAAAATTTTGTGCAAAAAATGACATATGGATTTATGAGATCAGATGAATTTTAAGCAAAAGAAATCCAGCTGATTGTCTTACAAGAAAGTGAGATATGAAGGATTTGCAGTTAGATGACTAGATGTTTGTAAATTTGGAAGCCAAATAGGGACTATCAACAATCAATTGGTTTGTAAGCCATTTGAATGCAGAAAAGAAGTATTTCAACAGCTTGCATTTTTGCCTCAGAATTAAGGCTGTTGATTGTTTTACTCAAAGTTTGGAAAGAGAAATGAATTATGCATGTTTTCTATTCAGATTGATTTATTGTATACTAATGCATAGCTGGGAGTGCAGAACACAAGTAGTGTTAATTCTATTGGCTTAGATATTAGCTATATGGTAGTCAATGTTTTTAGGAGCATCAAAAGAAGTAGTTGAGTTGCCTCCAGCCACAAAGATTATGGTTTCAGGACCATCAGGACAAAGAGACCTTGTAAAAATCCAGTATAGAGGATATTAGCAGCCAAAATAAAATGAAAAAAATATTATTAAGATAGACTGATGATTTAGCTTTTAAATCAATTAATAAGAGTTATAGAGTAAGATTAGAGAAGACAGAGAAGAAATTTGAAAGGTTTTGTGGTTGGGTAAGAAAGACAGCATGCCCAGCAAATGTAGATACAGTGAAGGCATTCTTGGGCTAGTTAGAAATAATGGATATGACAGCACAAGTGCAAGGATTTTTAAAAACAATAATAAGAATGCACAAGAGAAAGGGTTTGGAAAATCCAGGAAATGATTTTAGAATAAAAAAAGTAGTGAGAAGAATTAAACTATTAAAACCTCAAGACCATAAAGCAGAATGGCCATAAGACCCTTTTTCTTTAGAAATATTAAGACAGTATTATGAAATATGCCTAAGAGAACAAATGCAAATTTATGATATAGAGATTTAGCATTAATAGCAATAGAGTTTTGTATGATGTGTAGACTAGGATAATTGTGTAAATTAAAAATAAAGGATGTGGAAAGAAGATCAGAGTTAGTTTGGATAAGGATTAGAAAGGCTAAAAATGACCTATTTGCAAATAGAAGATTTGTACCAATTGAGAGCACAAAAGGTAAAATTTGTTCTATAAGGTTATTGAATAAGTATTTAAGAATAAAACTAAGTATGATGAATGATGCATCTTTGTTCTTGTCAAAAAAGGAGGGAAAATGTCAGTAGTAGTAATTTCAGCAGTGATAAAAAGGTTAATAAAAAATGCAGAAATTGAAGAACAATTTACATCCTACAGCTTAAGGATAGAGAGGCAATGACAGCAATGAAAGAAAATATGTTGTTAATCCAGATAAGAGCTATAGGAAGGTGGAATTCAAAAATGGTAATGCTTTACTTGAGAGCAGTAGAGATGACTAAGGATAAAGTATCTATAAAAATGTGATTTTGAGTAAGGGATAGCTCAACAAATTTATAAGATCATTTGATATTTGCAATATTATAAGGGGGAAAAAGAATTCAAATCGATTTTCTTGATAATTCCATAGTATGTATTTTATAGTATTTGGTTGTAGTGATCGAGTAACAAATGAAATACTATAAACAAAGTCACAAGACAGTCATTTGTTATAATATCACATCAGTCATCTATAATGTTATTTTTTATTTTTTATTTTTTTGGTATTAAGGTGACCTCTTTGATCTTTTGACTATTATTAATCACTTATCAGTATTGTGATTCAATAAACCACTACAGAAAAGTATACAATTGGCTACATGTGTACCTTTTTTATATTACCTATTTAAGGAGTTCACTCGAAGGTTCTCCACCAATTGCTATACCTAATACCCTTGCTTGGGTGTTTTACTTTAAACTCTCTAAACCTGTAACCTGTGTTAATATCACTAGATTATCCTAGATGCTCAGATTACCACTTAACCTTAGGACTAATTTATCCTCAAGATAAACCCCCTAGAGCCTTCTGTATTTATTTTTATAGCTAATCTAGGTATCGCTATGGCAGAATCAACACTTATGATCAGGACTGACTATTAAACTGCATGCCCTTATAAAGTTCACACAAACCCCAGCATCTACTTCACAGCATATCTGAAATACTTTAGTATACTCTTGCCAGTTCACCAAACTCCCAATCCAGATGGCCTGGTAGGATCCATTGGTATATTAGGTTGACCCAATATCCTTTTTCACTAGCTCGATCTAGCAGCCTGGTTGGTAGTACTCTCTACCTAGAGGTTTTTGCCTGTTTAGCTACTTCAACCTTGGTATCTGTTTCATAAGGCTAGCCTTTACAATAGGGCCATCGAAGATCTGGCTACCTCTCTATTTAGGTCTTTTCAAATGGAATTCTTGTTACCTAATTTTAATGGATTTATATGACCACAAGGACTTATCTAGTGTTTGTACTATCTAATTGCTGGTTTGCATTTCTTCATGTAACTACAACCTTGTCTCAAATGACAATATTATGTAACCTGTTACACAAATGCCTTATGACCTACCAGTCATGCTAATGTGACCATTATTACAGGTATCCTAACCCAATCATTAGTAACAGTTATCATAATATGAATATTACATAGATGATTATCTAAATTTTTATCATCGATGGGATTTGAACACCCAACCTACCACTTGGATGGTTGATAACCTGACTACTTCACTAGATTACCACACCCTATATCCATAATGTTATTACAGAATAAGTAATTAGTAATAAAATATAATTGAGTAATTAATTGAGTAATAAGATCATCGTGAATAAGAGAGTTAAGTAGTTAGTTTAATCAATTAGAATGTGGTAAGTATGAGGTTATTGAAAATAGCTATATAAGTGAAACATGAATAATAAATAGTTCTTCCTCTTTTGTCTTTGCTGCTAACTCAACACAAGTCTAGTTTTATTGATAAGACCCAACTATCAGCCAAGGAATTCGAGAGAAAAGAGATTGTAAAGTTAATAGGTAAAAAGAATAACTCAGGTGAGCAATCTGGATATCAAAATAAGAAAAATAGGTAATGGAAGGAAATAGAATAAATGAAAGGCACAGAATTAATGACTTAAAAGAAAAGAAAAAAAAGATACAATACTATAGAATTAACTGGTTACCACATGAGCAGTGAGGCAAAATCCCATAGTATGTATTTCATAGTATTTGGTTGTATTGATCAAGTGACAAATAAATGCATTTTGCAAGAATATCACACTGACTTCTTTGAATCTTCAAGTTAATAATATTGGTCTAAAAGAGATTTATCATAAAATCTAATAACCCAAAGGTTTACATAGATCAAGATAAAATACACTGGTAATTATTCAAATTGTAATAACATATGAATAAAAAAGTAAAAGTTATATTATAAATTTCAAAATATTGATTTTATACATTTAGCTTAACTATTTATAAATTGTGAGAAAGATTTTAAAATAAACTAGAAACTCATATTTGTATAAGGCCTATTCTAAGACAAGATTAATTACAATGCACTATAAATGTTCTGAGTCATTTCACAATTTAGATCGATTCCGAATTGACCTAGGTCATCCATAAATTTTCATCGATTCAGAAATAACTCAGGTCAATTTTTAATGAAACGCTATGAAATTTAAGCATAAGGATGTAACTAATTATAGAGTGACAAATATGTATCAACTACTTTATTATATATAAATAAACTAGTTATTTCTTACGCAATTATTTATCACATCCACGGTAGTGCAACACCGCGTAATTTAAGGATCGAGTATGACCAATCAGCAATGTGACAAATAAGCACCAACTAAATTATTTATATAAATAAATTAGGCAGTGTTTATTTGTCACTTTACTTGGGTATCATTTGATCCCAAAATTTAATAGAAATTTAGAACCCAGAATTATTACATATGTCAAATTAATTTTAATTTAATGCAAAAAAAAACAAATAAAACTTTTCAAATGTTTGACTTTATTAATAAATACAACTTTTTTTTTATTAATTCTTAATATAGAAAGTTACGACCTTTTGACGTGTGAAACCTTTCATCGAATATTAAAAGCTTTTATTCATCAAAGGAAAAACAATCGCTGATTAATGGATCAAAATAAATATAATAAATGTTTAACTGTAATTAAAAATCCCAATGACATATATAACCCAAAATTTAAATATTGGTGCAACTGAAGAGCTTTATATGATTAAACGATCTGGTGATGCAGGTTTGTCTTGTTGAAAATTTTTTATGCCTTAACATCATTTTTTATTGATTTTTTATTATTTATTTGTATTGTGCATTTTTTATTTACATAATTTTTTTTTTTTTTATTGAATTAAAGAATTTTTGCTAATATAGCTAAATTTTATTATAAATAAAAGATCTTTAATAATATAATTAATAGTATTGCTTGGGCTATATAATTTATCGCTTGGTCATATAATTTTGAATTTTTAAAAAATTCACTGATTGAGAAATGACCTAGGTCATTTCAAAATTCAAGAATGACCTAGATCAATTTGGAATCGACCTAAATTGTGAAATGACTCAGAACATAAACACACAAAGCAATTCATTTTGTGATTTAGCATTTTAGTTTTAGTGTTTTAGTTATTTAGTAATTTACTGTTTGATCATTTTAGTGATTTAGTATTTATCATTATTCATTGTTTATATAAAAAAAAGCATTTTATGTTTTAATAACTTCGGAAAACCCAATATTTATACATCTTACATGAAGTTTGGAACCATTTTATCTTTTATATATTAAAAAAAAAACCAGTCTTAATGGGTTTTAACATATGAAAAATAGAACTAGTTCTAAACTCTAAACCTATATAAAGTATAGCTAAAGGTTAAGTTTTTTTGTTTAATATAAATTCCTAATCAAAAAACTCCTGATCAGTTCCAGTTTCTGTAGGACCAATTAAATAGTGTTAAGCGGCTCAGGACGTCCGTTATTTTAATGAATTTTTTTATTAAATTAAGCTACAACCAAACCATTTTTATATTTTATTATATATGTTAAATATTCAATGTAAAATGTACTTTTATTTGTGTAATGCAAATTTAATAAACATTACAATAGTTTTCTAATTATCAAAAGCGCATATTTATTGTTGAAGCTACTTTTTTTTGCAAAATTGCCCTTGCAGATTCATCGTATTCCTTTGAAAGAGTAATATTATAACCAACCCTGTTTTTAAATTAAATGCCAATAAAATTTAACCTGCCTAATCGAGCCATTTTTACTTAATGCTAATAAAATATTTGAAATGTTCATTATTGGGTGAGCTGCCTTATGATAATCTACCTACTTCAATTACCTTTCCTTGTCTATAAAATTTCTAACATTAAAAACTTACCATGTTTTGATCGATCAATAAGACAGAATAACAGCTTGTGACTTGTTAGTCTTGTATTGTATTTGATAGTTGCTTATTTGTTTTATTTTATTATATAATTTAAATATTGGATTTCAGAAACGTTCGGTTGTCGGAGAACCATATAAGTTTTGATAAAGCTGTGTAACACTAGGAGTAAGTTGATTAATACTTTAATTTTATGATGTCCTATAGTTATGAAGATAATTTAAAATTGTCAAATACACATAAAAATGTATAATAATATATAATGGGTATAATAGTAAAACAAATAATTTTTAAGGTTTATGATTCAGAATACGAGATATATAATGCTTCAGGATAAAGCATATGTCTATAGTCGTATTATACAGTATATTAAACAAGAATCATCAAGATTGTCTGTTCTTAAGACAGGGTAGCCCAATATAAATTGAATACTAAATCTTTTAAAGCACCCTTTTTCAAGATAGAATAAAATATGTCAATAAGTTGGATATGACTATTGTTATGGGTAAATCCGACCCTAGGACCATGAGGAAACGCTGCATGATGATCCCCGAAATTCACCATGAAAAACCGTCATACCACGATGCTGTGACCCAAGATAAATCAGGTTGCCTATTAAGTGACAGCGCTGATCTCATTGAAGAAAAGTCACCCGCACGATTTGGAATACATCTGTCAAATGAAAAATTCTAAAGTAACGACGGATGGGTTGTAGGAAAAAGTGAAAAAGTGTTAGCAAATAAGGGTAAGACAGCTTATGTCAATGAGAAAAAGGGTTCCCAAGCCGTGTTCGAAATTCCCTTTTTTTTCCTTTATAATTTTCTATAAATAGGATTCACATTCCCTCCTCTTGTAATGTATCATAACAGAAGACCAAATTATCTCTTGTACCGAATCACCTTTAGATACCTTTGAACCTTGTAGTTAACCGCCCTAATAATAAATAAATAAATAAGTTCTTAACTGAGTCCAAATAATAAAGAAACCAAATCATTCCATTTCTTTAAACCCTTCTACTTACATCCGAATCCCCCTTGTAACGTTCTCAAAAGCCGCCTTTAACCCGTGCCAAATCGAAACTGCCTCACCTGTTTTTGAGTGACGTTACGCGACGTCAACGTTTTTGAAGCGCCAATTCGTCACCTTCCTTCCCTTCTTAGTGGTGCCATTCCCGACCTTATAGCCCGTATTACTATTTTATAACTTGAGTGTATTATTGGTTTTACACTGTATAAAAAAATAATGAGTAAAATAATATGTACCTTAAGCTCCACATCTATCTTTGTATAATCCTTTAATTTATATTTTAACTTTTTAGCTGTATTAATCTTAGAGAGATTTAATTCAAGATTTGATTTCTTCATTAATCGGACAACATAAAATATTCTAATATTTGTTTTATTATATTCTAATATTTGTTTTATTTTGTCCAGAAAGTTTGATATTGAAAATTCTTCTGAAGGTTTATCATTACTAAATATGTAAGAAATATTCTTACAGTATATGCAAATTATGGATGTTACATGCGTATGTACCTGGGTCAATTATAAAAATTAGCAAGTTTATTATTTTGTCCAAATTAATACAAATGAAATCATGGACTGCGAAATATGATAAACTAATGATAAATTCGGAGTAATGTGTACGACAAAAGATTGATAGTTTTCAATGCAAAATCATAATCTCGAGACTAATATATTTTATGTCGAAATGGAATTACTGTGGATTCAGAATCCACCTAAATTGATTCTAAATAAATATCGGTTGTAACAGAATTATAAAATGTACCCGAGTTATTAAAGAATTCCAAATAAACTTGCAATAAAATTATGAATATTCTAATTTATTTTACCAAATACTTTTTTATAGAGTTTAAATCGCTTTAGATAAAATTTGCTAATAATCTATTGACAAATTAAATTTATGAGAAATTCTATTTTCACCCAGGTTAAACCACCCGATAAACTATAATGTCATCTATGTAATTAAAATTAATACTATTAGTAATATTTTAGGTGACTTTAACCCGGGTAAAATATAATTTCTCTAAATTTATTAAAAAACCTTACGTAAGATTTTTACATTTATGATTACTATGATGACAACTACTAATACATGGTACAAAATAAACAGATACAATTCATACACACAATGTACTTATGAAATATTCTATATGTATGATCTTATTTATAACTTTGTGTGAGTACTTCAAACTATTCACGTTCAATATCCTTTTGAACTTGATAGATCAGTTATGCATACATGTTTATTGATATAAAATTTTTTAAAAGTAATTAATTTTTTAGGCCTAACAATTATTTTAGAAAAGTTAATGATATAAAACACATTAATTGTATTTGTTATACTAACATTATTAAAAGTTTTTTATTTATCAAAAATATTCACAGAAATTTGTTGCAAAACATAAAAAAAATATTAAAAGCATGTATGTTAGGCCACACAAAGATAATTTTTCGTTTTGTGGATTTTTTTTTTTATAACATATTGTAAATTAATTAAATTATGTTCACATTTAAGGTTACATAAAGTAAATTTTTCGTTTTGCATACAAAAAAGCAAATAAATTTGGTTGGCAGTCGTATTTTTTCCGTCGGTCATATCGGATAATTACAGATATTAAGGTCCCATCGTATGATACCGGATAAAAATAATGAATAAAATAAATGGCAAAAATCGAATAATTAGCACAATTAAAATTTGAAAAAAAAATAAAAATAAAAATTTGAAAAATTGAAAATAATAGGTCGGCAGGTAATGCAAAACGAAAAATCAACTTTGCGTGGCCTTATGTATAATTATAAAGATTTATATTTGCAGTTTGAAACTAAAAAAAAAATTATTATGCCTATCTTATCCTATAATACTACGAAATTTTGATAATTATATAGCATTTTAATGCTATCGCAAAAATGCAAGATTTCAGGGTTATCCTGCCTTAAAAAGCAGACTTTAATATAGCAAAAATAAACGATTCGGTACAGTAATTATTACATGATCAATTTATCCAGTTAAATGTTTAACTATGTACTTTAATTATTTAAGCCGTGAAATTGATAGGCATTTATGTGAAAAGGTCAAAAGATCCAGATTTAATCAGGTATATATGTTATAAGTGAGAATGGGTTAGGGTTAGGGTGTAAATATATGATAAATTCAACGATAAACTGTTGGTTTTATATAAAAATTCCGAATCCACTTAAATTCCGTTTTCATATACACGCGTATTTTAAACCGAACAGGACACTCGTAACAGCAGAGTAATTTTATTTATTTATATTTATATATTTATATATTTATAGATATGCATTTAAACTATATTTCGAGTCAAAATTATAAATATTTTAAAGTAACTATAATTTAAGAATATCTTGTTGTTGGTAACTTTCTTGATTCAATTCGAACGGACATGCACATGGTGTCAAAACAATTTTATTATAAGCATAAGATATATTCTTTGTTTAAACCAATTTGGTTTAATCAGCCTTAATTTCAAAATTTAACAGGAAGAGTCATCAACGTTGCACAACTAATCCTTCACCTTCCTTTTAGATTGGTTGTGCAAAATTGACGGTTCTCTCTGTTCCTTAATTTAGATAAATAACAACCGTAACCATATTATTAAATAGGAAATTTTACAATGTGTTCTGTTTTGTTTTCACAGGATAAAAATAATAGTTCCAAAAATATGTCAAAACTTCTCATCGAATGCAAATAGAAGCTTCGAAAAACCTTACTTACCGGTACAATGTATTAGCTTTTTAAGTTATATAATAATAATGCAAGTAAACACAAAATGGCAAGGTGAATGTCAGATTCAAAACGGGAAACTATATGATTTCTTGAATAAAAGTTCTTTAACTAAAACATTATAAAAGAGTCATAATTTCGCCTTTATAAAATCAGAGAACCTTTGGAATGTAAATTAATAAAATATAAAAATCAAAACCATTAAAATCCAAAGTCTCTTAATAAAAGTTTTATTCCAATTCACTACATCACGTCTCTGGCGAACTGGTTTATATTTTATCCGATAGAAGAATTACAAACAAAAAAGAACAAGTATCTACCGGGCAAAAAAAATGAATAATTGGTATTGGATCGTGCCAGCTGGCTTTGCACTTTTTCTTTGCCTTTATGGAACAATAGTCGCACTCGATTCGTGCGACTATTATTATAATTATACGGACTATTTATGCTATGGCGCGTATATTCCCGCCATGGTATTTGTAGCAGTATGCTTTATAATATCTGTAACTTATGGCTTGTTCGTAGTCATGAACGAACGCAAAAATAGACGGAGGCAAAATCCAGTAGCAACTGATCTTGAGGCGATTAATACTGTGGATAATCCAGTAGTAACTGATCTTGAGCCTGTTAATACTGTGGATAATCCAGTAGTAACTGATCTTGAGCCTATTAATACCGTAGATAATGTGAATGAGAAAGATGCAAATGAAGAAGAATTGAAGAAAAGAATTCGATTGATAAGGCTGAAGAAAGAAATTGCTGAACTAGAAGGTGATATAGAGAATAAAGGTGCTAATACAAACTTAAAATATGAATCAACTCCAAATACTGTAGCTAATACTGCTCCTAAACAGTCTGAAAAACCCGGATAATTCGAATTTTAAACTCATGCTTAAAATACTTCGCACTGTTCAGGTTCAAGTTTATCTAATGAAGGCTGGGTATTATCAGTGAAATGAAGCTGACTTTATTGATATTAAAAGAATAGTCGTGAAGCAAATATTACTCATTCATGCACGTGTCTAAATTCTTGGGGGGAATTAAGTTTCATATAAATTTTAAGATGCTAAATGGATAGTCTAAATTTGTAATTATAAATATCAAATTTAAAATAAAGGTTATTTTTTATTTAGTGTTGGTATTAGATATGGTAAAATTGTATTTGTTCTGGTCAATTATGGACTGACCGGTTAACTACCCGAACAACTGTTTCGGAGCATTAGTAGCAACAGGAGCGACCGTTCAAATTAGTAGATAACTCTGATATAGTTGCACATGATTATCAACCAATCGTGCTCAATTTTAGTAAATCGGCCAATCATATTGTAAAAAAAAAAGTCGTGGGATTCGTTATTCCTTAAACAGTCAATTTAACTTCAAATATACTACAATATAAACTATGTTCCAATATAATTTGGTAGTTCATTCACAGATTAATCATGATTTAAGCATGCAAATTTGTATGCTTGCCAATTTCAGGTATAAAGTAAAATGAAAGTATTGATTCATCCATTAAATTTAGTCTCGTTTAAGTTGCCTGAGTTTTTAAAAGACGTATTATAAAATGTATATAAAAAAAATGATTTATCAATTGTGTAACTATAATGGTGTAAGGGAGAAATTTGTCCAAGCTCATTGCCGAAATGACTGGATATATTAGAGGCAACCCAAATTCAGCAGACCGACCAAAATTTAGGTCAGAATAGGCCTGGAGCTGGCTGGCACTAAGCAATAATGCAAGCTAACTATACTGCAGCAAAATTATTATCTAGGCAACTTTACTTAGTACATGGGCTACTATTTAGTCAGTAAAATTTTGAAAGAAATTTGTTAATTCTGGCCTATTCTAACTCTAAATTTTGGTCGATCTGCTGAATTTTAGTTGTTCTACTAATGTATCTGAAGTGGCTTGGGTCAATCTAGCAAAATCAGCTAGAACTAGTAACCTGAACTAGCTAGGCTTTAATCGTATAACTGAACCAAACTGAAATGCCGTGAACGAAGTCACGGGGCAGTCATTTGTCACGAGATCACGTCACCCATCTATGACGATAAGGTTTGGTAGGTAATCGTGAGTAAGAGAGTTTACTCGAGTGATTGATTAAATGATGAGGTCATTATTGGTAATGAGAAAGATAGTTTAATTGAGTAATGGTAAGTATGAGGTCATAGGGAATGGTTATTTAAGTGAAGTATGAATGGAAATTTGTTCTTCCTCTTTTGTTTTCGCTGCTAGCTCGACGCAAGTCTAGCTTTGTCGTTGGAACCCGCCCGCCCGCCACTGTGGTGGAAAAGGATAGGATATAAAATTAATATAATAGATAGAGTTTGAGTAGCATAATAAGAGAAGAAAAAGGAAGTCAATGCTATAGTAACGGCTGTTGACCACGTGAGCATCAGGACAAAATCCTGTTACGTGTATTTCTTAGTGTGTATTATGTTATATTGGAGATAGTGATCAAGTGACAAATGAAAAAATTAGGGCAACTGGTTAAATAAAAGTTAAATCGACTAACCTAGTTAACCTAGCATAATTAGGTGATCAAATATAATCAACTAGCCTGGCATGATTGGTTACATGTTATAATTAGTTAATTTAATTATAGAAAAAATAATTAATACAGACTTTATTAATAGATTAACATTTTGGATAAGTATTAATTAATTAAATATTTGCTAATTAAATAAGTTTTTGATTTCAATAATGATTACTATTAAATTAAAACTTATCAAATTAGTAATTATTTAATTAGTCAATATTTTGGCAAATATTTTAGAATTTATAAAATATTTATAAATTAGTTTTTATTACAAAAATTATATTAAAATTAAAAAAATATTCAATTAAAATTTTTTTCTTATAGATTTCAAAATATTAAGTAAACAAATAATTAGCAAAAAAATATATAAAAATTTATAAAGTAAATAAGTTTTTAAAAATTAACAGTTTTTTTTAGTTTTGGACTTAACAGTTTATAGACAAGGTAATTCAGAAACTTAAATAAAATTAAAAGAAAACAGAGCAAAATCAATAATATTATAACAAACAAAGAAAAGAATCATAGATTAGTAGGTTTTTTATTTGTATTCTTATTTGAGATCACATTACAATTACAAATAAGAAAATCAATTACAATCTTTTGTATAATAATCTTTTAAGAAACAGAACTAATACTAAGAAAGATCTTACCTACTTAGATGCATTAGCTAAAAAATAATAAACTCTTCTTTTAAAATCTTAAACTAATACAAAAAATAGACAATTTAGCTTACTTTCATTAAACTTAATCATAAATTATTATATATAAATAACAATAATAACAAACCTATATAAACTAGTTTTGACAACACAATTACAGATTCCACAGATCTTATATTCTTAATAAAATCTGTTTTAGAAAATCCCAATATCAAAAATAGTTTAGATCATATAGATAACTAACACAATATCTAAAATAATAAAGAATATATAAATATAGATAATAGTTATATGAACACAAAATCTGTTGTAATTATAGATAGCAATTTAGAAGAATACAAACTACTTACTTATAGTTAAATGATCAGAAAAAATATTTTTATATCTAGCAAGATGCAAACTAATGTAGCGATAAATCATACTTAAGAATAAATATATATTCTATATAATAACTTATAAAATAGAATTACTTAATCTTTTAACAAAAATGTTTAAAAATATAATAAAATTATTATTATACTTAAAATAAAAAAATAAATTTTTAACTTCATAGTATATAAGTTACAAACTAAACTAATTAACTTCTTTTTTTATCTTGTAATCAAGATAAAATTTAAATACTAGAACTGTCTTCTTCTTTATATTTGTTTTTTTTTTTTTGGTATTAAGGTGAGGCCTTGCTCATATCTTTATTATTAATTTTAGTTGTACATATTAATATATTATATACTAAGATATACTAAGATTGTAAACTACAAAATAAAAATTACATG